TACGCTGGCTTTTTGGGTACTGCTACATAGCGTGAGCGCAACGATTCAGCTGCAACTGGACGTGTTCCAAGAGTCATACAGTCCGGCATTCGAAGCATGGGAGTACCTGATGGAGACTTACCAGGCAAAGGATTCGGTGGCAAAGGCATCTCTCCAAAGGCAATTGGACAACCTGAAGATGGGGAGTCAAGAAAGAGTGGAGGAATACATCAACCGAGCAACTGCAATTCGTGACAAGTTGGCAATGGCGGGAAAAATGGTAGATGAAGATTCATTCACCTTAAATCTGATTACCGGGCTGCCGCCGCATTGGGAGGAGCTAAGGCATTCAGCTATGCTACACGATATCTCAGACAGCTACACACTACAGCGAATGATGATTCAGGAACAACGTTATCAAGACCTCATTAGCAAGACCAACCGTGACAAACGTCCTCCCCGCATGGCTGGTCAAGCACGTGGAGATACTTCACCAGCAAAGGAGAGGATCGAGACAAAGGGCAACCAGAATGCGGCAAGGTCAACGGGAGGGCAACAAGCGCCGGTTGGGGACAAATTCAAAGGCAACGAAGGAAAAGGAGGGCGGTCTAACCTTGTGTGTTGGTACTGCAAGGAATCTGGCCACCCGTTCCACAAGTGTCCTAAGGCGCCTCCGGGTTGGTCACCACCAGGTTGGGAACCACAAAACAGAGGAAGGACAAACCAGCGCACCTGGAGTAGCCGTTCGTCCTCGCCTCGAAGAAGTGAAAGCCCGAAACGTGACAGCCAAGCGTCAAAACAGCAAGGAGCAGCCGGGGGAGACAACAAACGAACCGTTACATGCATTGCAACGGTTCGATCGTCACAAGCAACATTACCGTCAACCGGAGGGTCGATGTGGTTGCTGGACAGCGGATGCAGCCAACACATGACTTCAGAAAAGGAGTGGTTTGAGGGTCTAGAGGAGCTGAACGAACCTGTTTACGTGGAGCTTGCTGACGGAAGCCACCTGTTGAGCTCGATGGCGGGAACAATCCGAGCAACGGCACCCAATGGGACAACAGTGCGCTACACGGACGTGCTCTACGTACCGGGCTTGAAATCCAACCTGCTCTCTTACTGCCAGCTGTACAAGAAGGGAGCACGAATTCACACACATGAGGATGGACACACGGAGATCACAATGGCGGATGGAGATGAGCATGTACTCATTGGAGTTGGAATGGTCATCCATGGGGTGTTAATGGTGCACTATGAGCCTGCACTTACATCCGCCCATGAATTTGGTCATGATCATCCGAATGAAGCATTGAATGCGACAGATCTTGGAGGGCTGAATGTGCAATCTGCTCATTCATCCATCACATATCGCATGGCCCATAAGCGCTTGGGCCACCCATCATACTCATCCATGGATGCAACATTTCGAGTTGAAGGACTCTCCATATCCGACAAGACAAACCCTCTCAAACCCCCGTGTGACTCATGTCTTCGAGGGAAGATGAGCAAGGCCCCATTTCCCACAGGTGGTGACAAGCGCACAACTCGACCTTTGGAGCTCGTGCATAGCGACATCATGGACTTGGGTGGCGCTCACCCCTCACTTCGCTACGTGCTGACGCTCAAGGACGACTACACCAACTACCTGTGGGTGGCGCCGTTGGCTCGTCGATCCGACATGGCAGCTGTTTTCTCGGCTTGGCATCGCGAAATGAAGACCAAGTTGCCCACGAAACCGCTGGCTGCCTTACGCACGGACAATGGAGGGGAGTATGCAGCCAATGCATTCACGGATTATCTGAGTGCTCAAGGCATCAATCACCAAACGTCTTTACCACACACGCCGCAGCAGAATGGAGTCGCCGAGCGGGTTAACCGAACGCTCATGGACCGAGTGCGTGCAATGAGTACCGGGGCCAGGCTTTCCACTAAATTCTGGCCTTATGCGCTGGAATATGCGGCATGGTTACACAACCGCATCAGCTGCAGCAGCAACCCATCCGCACACTCACCGTACTTCATGATGACGAGAAAGGCAGCAGATGTCTCCATGGCCAGGACCTTCGGATGCCTCTGCTACTATCTCCCTCCCCAAGGCAGCTTTGGGAAATTTGAGCAACGAGGACGGGCAGGCATGTTTCTCGGCCTCTCTAACTCACGAAAAGCATGGATCGTGCGGGACTTGGCAAGCGGCGTTGACACGGACACACGCTCAGCTCGTTTCTTTGACGACCTCATGCTCCCGGACGCCGAGTCTCTGCTCGAACGCCAACGGTACATGGATGAAGTCTCACCTCATATTTCGGAGTGGACTTCAGGGGGAGAGGACGTTGGGTCAGCATTCGACTCTTTTCCCGCCTCTCACACTTCCTCCCCGTCATCTTCTGACGTCGCTACAGCAGAACAACATGGAACTAAGGCAAATGACGCAGCTCAAGAAGACCCACCAGCAGCTAATGAAGCCGATACAAGAGAAGAGACTGCGAAAAGTGACTTACCAGCGGCAGGCATCTCTGTTTGTGAAGGTGCTGACAACAACGAACCAGAAAATGAAGCAAGTCATCTCTACGACTATGCCTACCCACCCGATGGGATCCCGCTGGCTGCTCCTAACGTGCCACCACGGCGGGTTCACTTCAACCCAACGGTGACAGTGCTTGGAGGAGAAGGACAAGGGACGGACAACATGACAGGACTGGACGTACTGTTTGGGAGGCGGCAGGCAGGACAAACATTCACACGCTTTCCCAACTTGCAGCAGCCGAACGTACTAGGATGTGCAGCAACCGGCGTCCCCATGGTGGAGCTGACATACAAAGAGCCAAAAACACTTCAGGAAATGACCAAGGACCCGTACGCACCTCTTTGGCAAGCCGGTGTGGATGCAGAATTGGCCAAGTTCGATGAGCTGGACGCATACGAAGTGGTGGACAGAGTGGACGTACCAAAAGGAACACCGGTGCTGACGGAAGGAGTCGTTTTACGGGTGAAGCGAGATGAGCACGGACAGCCAAACCGGTTCAAAGCGCGCTGGGTGGTCAAGGGATGCGGCCAGACATGGGGAACATATGATGGGTCGTATGCACCGGTCAGCCAAGGACCTACCTCTTGCATGTTCGTTGCTGGTGCATCTACTACAAAGCGGAAGGTGGTGCAACTGGACATCTCCAACGCATTCCTGTACGCCCCAATCGACCGGGACATATACGTGAGACCACCAGAACCAAGGCGGGACGGAGACAAAGTCTGGAAACTCAAAAGAAGTGTGTATGGACTGAAACAAGCACCACGTTTGTGGCATCAGCACTTACGGGGTGTCTTGTTGGAGCTGGACATGGTGCAATCCGAATCAGACCCATCTCTGTTTATCTGGAAAAGAGACGGAAAGGACACGGTGTGGCTACTCACCTACGTTGACGACATCCTCATCCAGTCTCATGACGCAGAAGGCATTGAAGCTGTGATTCAACACTTGAAGCAGAACTTTACCTTGACGGTCAGCAAGACCATGACGCAGTTTTTGGGGCTCAACGTTGCCGCGAACAATGACTCAATCGCACTCGGACTCACAAAGTACATCTCACAGGCTTTGGCGACATTCGGGATGGAGGGCAGCCGTTCCGGAGTACGGACACCGATCGCCAAGGAACCTGGACCACAAGGAGAACCACCGGACGAGATTGATGGTCAATTGGTGCTGAAACAAGTTGGGACATTGCTATACATCTCAACAGCGGGGAGGCCGGACATAACCTATGCAACGCATGTGCTGGCTAGCCAAGCAAGCAAACCAACGGCAACAACAGTGCTTGGAATCCACAGGGTGTTCAACTAATTACAGAACACTGCAGACATGGGGCTGGTCTATGGAGGAGGGGACTTGGTGCTCCGCGGATACACAGATTCGGATTATGCGAACGAAGCAGGGCGTCACTCCGTTGGAGGTTACGTGTTTACCTTGGGAGGAGCTGCTGTCAGTTGGAGGACTAAACGTCAAACGGTCATTGCAACATCCACAGCTGAATCAGAATACATTGCACTGTTCGAAGGGGCAAGGGAAGCTACATACCTTCGCCGCTTGTGTGAAGACCTCGGTTTTCGACAGCAAAACCCTACCGTCATCTTTGTGGATAACCAAAGCGCAATTGCACTTGCAACCGGGGAGCAGATGAGCCAACGCATCAAGCACATGGACGTCCGTTACCATTGGACGAGGAAAGCCGTTCGTGATGGAGTTGTGCAGCCGGAGTACTGCCCAACAGTTCAGCAGGCAGCGGATTATCTCACCAAGCCCCTCACAGCAAAGCAACATCTCACCTGCAGCCTCTTGTGCGGTCTCCAACCAATTCCACATGGCGCACCGTCTGCACTCAGTACTCTAATTGACGCCGCTGGAGCTGCATTCTCACGTCCGGGATTCCCAAGGGGTGCTGGACAACAAGGCATCACGTAACTCCACACATCTCACTCATGTGTTTGGTGCTGTGTGCGTGCTCACGCATGTGCATAACTACCAACACACGAGTGAGAGGGGGAGTGGGGTGTGGAGTATTTTGGGGTGCAACCATTCGGGATCTGATCGCACAACCATCTTTCATTTTCGCCATTACAAGAGTCAGCCCATATGCATCAAGAGAAGACCTACTGCAATCAGTGACAAGAGCAGCCATCAAATTCTGTTGGACAGTCGCTGCTGGTCTGTCACAACCACTCGCCAACTGCAACGGCCGTTCCTGAAGACTTCATATGCCTGCTGGTTTCAAGGGGGGAGGAAACAAGTCAGCATGAGTCAGCATGAGGCAAGCAGACAGAGGAAATCACAAGAAGAAGCTGACAAAGTCCTACTAAATACAAGGGAAGACAGCTGGAGTCAGGCGCTGCTAGGACTGCTCACCAAGGTGACACAGGTGCTGCTGATACCACTGCCACCCAGTGCTGGAGCTGCACCAGTGCAAGCGGCCAGGGCATCAGGGAGAACTGCTGCAGGCCCGGTGCTGCAGGGCTTCAGGTGCTGCAGGGCGTCAGGGGTAGCTGCTGCAAGCGACCAGGTGATGCTGCTGCCACCAGTCAGGTGGTGCTGGCAGACGTTTGCAGAAGCAGCCGCCAGGTGCAAGAGCGGCCGTCAGATGCAGGAGCGGCCGCCAGGTGCTTGTGTACCAGTTGCAGCTGCTTCCGTCCACCACCTGGTATAGGGGGAGTGGCACAGGGCAACATGGAGCAACACAGGGTCAAGGGGGGCAGCACAGGGTAACATCACAGGGTACAAAGGGTAACATGGGTGAAACAGTCAGATTCGACGAAGCATTCTCACCTCGGTAGGAAGGAGAAAGCCGTGCGCTGCCAGGAGTAGCAGCAGTGGGCCGCCAGGAGTAGCAGCAGTGGGCCGCCAGGAGTAGCAGCAGTGGGCCGACAGGAGTAGCAGCAGTGGGCCACCAGGAGTAGCAGCAGTGGGCCGCCAGGAGTAGCAGCAGTGGGCCGACAGGAGCAGCAGCCGTGCGCCACCAGGAGCTGCAGACGTGGGCGCCAGAGCGCCAGGTGCCGATGCCGGCTGCAGCCGCTCACGCTCGCTAGCTGGTATGGGCGGGGGCAAGGAAAATCACAAGAGAATGTGGGAGCAGTAACAAGTGACTCAGCACGGTCAGTGCTGTAGTACATCAGTTGCAAGGAACACACATGGGTGATGAAGAGGTCAAGGTGCAAGCAGTGGTAGTTACACGGTGAAGGGCTACTCACCAAGTCACGACAGAGTAGGCACGCAGCTGCAGCGGTGCGGCGTCGGAAGCTGCTGGTGTGAGAAGGCCCCGCACCTGCCAAGAGCCAAGTATCGCCGTGCAGATGCTGCCACAAGGTCGCCCGAAATGGCAAGGGGAGGGCGCGCACCAGCAGAAGCCGCCACATGCGATGTAATGCAGCGGCGCGCATGCTGCTACAGTCGTGCGCCAGCCGCTGCTGCCAATCGCCACGGGCGCCATGAACAGCAGTCGCACGCAAGGAGCTGCAGCGCGCAGGTTGTCAAGCGAGGAAGTCATGGCAGCCGCGCGACCGAAGCAGCAGTCGCGGATCTGGCCGCAGCCGCAGGAAACGCGCATCCGGCGCTGCAGGTCGTCACGTGCGCTGCTGTCACCGAGCGCCAGCCATGACATGGCGAGCGCTAATGATGCGTGCTAGCTACAGCTGAAGGACATCGCGCCATGGCGCAGCGCAACGCACACCAGAAAATCGTCGCGACTAAAGCAGCAGTCGCACGACAGCAAAGGAAATCGGGTCAGCACTGGAAGGCGGAAAAAGCAGCGCGTCATAGGTCACATGACCAGAAAGAAGCCGTGCGCCATGAAGATATTCGCCAGCAACAGCTATCCTAAGACCAAGGGAGGCAATCCGCCCTGCTGCTGGGAATCGCGCTGACCTAAACTGTCATTTCACCGTGGAGATTGCAGCTTGAGCAGCAGCCATCGATCTGGAGGTCCTGCATGAAACGAAAGACTGGGAATCGAGAATGACGAGACAGTCAGACCCCTGCTGGAGAAGGGTGTGGGAGAAACGGGAGCTGTGAAAAGCGACAAACTGAAAGGAGAGCTTGACAGGGGAGTGTACAGTGCACGGGAGTTCGAGAAGCGGGGACGAGAATCAGAAACCCTAGGAGGGAGGAACTTGTGTCGCGACAAACAAGCCAGGTCGCCAACTTGGGAGGAACGTGCACCTGCGCGTCGTCACAACTGCTACAGACCTTTCCGACCATCGCGATTTCCCACCAATGCAGTTTCTGACCACGAAACGGTCAACGTAAATCAAACCGCCGCAATCCCCGCCGGAACTAAAATCACTTCCGCAATCAACTCCACTAAATCAATCCTGCCGCAATCAACGCCAGTTACAGGTATCCTCCAAGACAAAACGCAGTAAAACCTACAGCAAGGGGAAGTGTTAAATACACCAACATAAGATATTACAAATGTTGTTAGATTTTACTGTAGTGTTCCTTTATAAGACAATTATTGGAGGGCCAGAATTATTGGAGTCTAGAATTATTGGAGGGTAAGAATTATTGGCGTGTAGAATTATTGGTGTAGGATTATTGGTGTGGACAGGGCCCTCCTGATGGGGTGAGCTGCTGACATATATACCCTGCTCTGTCATTTCAGGAAATCAATCAATTCCATTATTCTCATTCTGCTTTCAACCATTCAGTGCAAGTCTTCCAGCCTTGCTCTTTCTACAATCTAGCTTCCGCAACGCCGGCATCATGCCTTTCTAGCACTTCGCACGTCGCACCCCGACCTCACGGCTCGGCGGGTAACTCGCGCTCCGGGCCTCCGCTTCGACATTTTCCCCAACCTCAGTCCCAGGCCCGTCGCGCGACAACCACAGTCCATTACCGTTACCACTGTAGTTTCGCTATGTATTCTTCGCTCATGCCTTCGTTCATTGTACTCTTGCTTCGATAGTGCAATCCTCGCTCGCTCACTCAATTGCACTTGTAACACTAATTAAAGATTGTTATAAGGAGTAACTGTTGGTGGTTGGTGGAGTAGCAGTTTACGAATGAAGAGAAACGTGCGAACAGTTTCCGAGGCTACTTGCCGTACCGAATCGCCACACCAAGCCGCCAACCATACCAGCCGAAACTCTCGAAGCAGGGAAGAGCGACAGGGCGTCGATATGCGTCATCCAGTGACTGTGGCAGCTTCCACCAAACCAAACCAACGAGAGCGACACGCGTCGCCAGCCTAGTGGTAACCCAACTTCAAAGTCAACCACCTTTGAAGCTTGCGAACGAGTTGGTTCCTTTTCGGGAAGGATACGGCGATTCTTCGCTCACCACGCAGCTACCAGTCAGCGATCGTTGCTTTGCCTCGAGAACTCCTTTTCACTGGATAAGAGCTCCAGCCATACAGAAGCTCAAGGGGCTGAAAGCTCAACATAACACACCAACTAGCCTCCATAGAAGCTTGTTTGGGTGTTTTTGTTTGGTGGTCTGAAAGCCGTTGCAGCCATTGCTGAAGCAGTTCAGGGTTCTGTTTTGTAGCAGCTGGTTTCCATTATTAACCTCCATTCCATTACCACTGCATTGCTCCCTGATCAAGCCACAACTCTCGTACACACAAAGTACGCAGGGAAATAGCAAAAAATAAACCGTCTTATCTGAGACATAACAACTTCAGTTAGGGTAGCGCTTGCACGTCGTGAGGTGTGGCATATAATGGAGGAACCCTGGGAAGGAGCGGCGACTTGGGACGGACAGCCGCAAGCCCTAGAGGGGGACTTAGGCAGAGGTGCGCCTGGGAGAGGCGCCGGAATGAACAGCGGATATGGTGCAAATAATGGCATGTTGGCGCAATCGCCGATGGGCGCGCAGGGAAGAGGGGGAAGGCAGTCTCTCTCTGTAGATTATTCGAACCGAGCGTCGACTGCGCCGATGCAGGGCCGAGCGCCGTTGACGCGGCCGAACCAGTTCCCGCATATGCATGCCCCGCAACAGCAGCAACAGCAACAACAACAACAGCAACAGCAGCAGCAGCAGCCTATGAAGTCGCCAGGACTCTATCCTGTCAATGTACGTTCCGCTCTAGCGTCTCAGCCTTTCTTTTCCTTCTTCCTCGCTAGAGTAAGGAATATTTTGAGCATTTTTAAGAGCCTTAAAGAGTAGAACAGGAAAGGTGCTGTTTTTTCTCTTCAATACGCTGCGCGCTTCGTATTATTTTCGTTCGCATCCTTGCACATGTTGTTCTCCTGTTGTAACTCCTGAAGTTTTGCCCGTATCTTTTGCGATGGCGTGCCCCGCACACACACGCACGGGCGCGCGAACGATCCTCTGCACCCCTTCCCCCAGCACCACGTCCCCTCCTCCCTTCATACATTCGCGCGCACGCGCGTACACTTCCTCACTCCGTTTTTCGCGGTTTGGTGCTGATTCGTGCTTGTCGTTCGACTGTATTACCTACCCGGTGAGCAGGAGCATGAGGTTTCGAACGACTACTTCAGAAACTCTGGTGGCGCCGTTCCCGCGCAGCATTATCATCAACATCAGCAGCAGCAGCAGCAGCAGCAGCATCACCAGCAGCAGCAGCAGCACACACATCAGGCACCGCCACAATTCCAGCAGTGGCAGCAGCAGCCGCAGCAGCAGCAGCCGCCGCAGCAGCATCACGCAGGTGGTGCGATGAACCATCAGTTTCAGCAACCGCCCATGCAGCAACCACAGCTGCAACACGCACCGATGCAGCAGACTCAGCAGCAGACACAGCAGCAGCAGATGCAGCATCGCAGAACAAGATCCGCCATGCCGGGCCAGCACGAACCCTTCACCCTCACAGACCCCCACCCCTCTCCCCACTTCCCTCCCGCGCACACCCCCACCGGCGTCAACTCACCAGCCCTCACCGCCACTGGCGGAAACTTCCCCTCACCTGTAAGCCACCCAGCTATGGCCATGCGCCCGGGGACTGGGCCTGCGGGGTACAGGCTGGGCGGGTCCGCGGGTGCGGGCGGTCCCCCTGCGCCGGCGCTGGTAGCGGCGATGCAGAACATGAGTCTGGGGAGTCCTGCCATGGGCCCGGCGCATGCGCCAGGGGGGGGAAGCAGAGCGGGAGGGTTTGGCCCCGCTAGTGCTCGAGGCGGCGGCGGCGGCGGCGGCGGCGGCGGCGGTGGGTTTGGGGGCGCTGGAGGGTTTGCTGGGCCTGGAACGCCTGTGGGGCCTGGTGCTGCTGAGGGTGTTAACGCGCAGAACCAGTGGCAATCGGGAGGAGGAGGAGGAGTGGGAGGGGGAGGGGGAGGCGGAGGGCGGTTGGGAGGAGAAGTAGTAGGCGGAGCAGTAGCGAATCAGCCTGCACCTTGGGAGCAGCCTCCTGAAGAGTCCTCCTCGTCAGACCCCCGTTTCAAGCCCAAGAAGATCCAATCCGGAGGGCACACGTGGGAGATGTTTTCCGGGCCAAGTATGAACATTCTTAGGCGGGAGGACGACGCGGACCTCACTCCGAACGAGCTCGCCACGCTCGTCGCCGCGCCCGTGCGCCCCACCGGCCGCCACAGGCGCTCCAGGTCCGCCATGCCCGTGCAGGCGCAGCTGGCGCAGCTGCGCCCGCCCTCCACGCCTGAGGGGCGCGTGCCTGGCGCGCTTAGGGCGGTGGCCGCGCTCGGCGCAGGCGGAGGCGCGGCGGGCGCGGCAGGGGGCATGACGGGCGGGGGGATTGGCGCAGGTTCAGGCGGGGGTATTGGAGCAGGGACGGGAATAGGCGGGGGGATGGGCGGAAACATGGGCGCGGGGATGGGCGCAGAGACTTTCGTGGTGGATCCGGAGCAGGAAGGGCAACAACAGGAGGAGGAGGAGGTACCGGAGGTGGCGCCGTGGGATACGGGCAATTCCGGCCAAACCCACCAGTCAGAATCCCTGCTCGTGACGACAGAAGAGCCCGGCACAGCAAGTGGTGGCAACAGCAGCACCATGGGCAGGCCTGGGGTTCCGGGTGGAATGCGAGCGGTTGGCAGTAGCAGCAGCGCCGGGCTCAACCCGCCCTTTGATGGTGCTGCAGACGCTGGGGCTGGGGGTTTTGCTGGGAGTGGGGATGCTGCTCTCATTCGCGGTGGCGGCGGCAGTGGCGGCAGTGGTGGTGGTGGAGGTGGTGGTGGTTACAGCATACCAGGTGGTAACATGGTTAGTGGTAACGTTCATGGCCTCCCTGCCCGTGCGTCCACAGCAGGAGGGCGGCCTAGTGGTAACTTCCATTTCCCAGGGCCACGTCAGCCGCAGTCGCCCTTCCCTGCACACACTCAGCAGCAGCAGCAGCAGCAGCAGCAGCCGCAGCAGCAGCACCCGCCGCAGTATCATCATCAGCAGCAGCAGCAGCTGCAGCAGCAGGCGATGCAGGGCATGGGTACGGGGTCCAACCAGTGGACAGGGAACGCACTGGCGCCAGATCCGCGGATTGCAGCGGTATCAGGGCGGCCCCAAACGCGTACGCCCCCCGCGGGATACAAACGCACCATGAGCGGAGGGCTGGAAGGCAGCCCAGGAGGCGGCGGAGGGGGAGCAGGAGGGGGGGTCGGAGGAGGAGTGGGGGGAGGAGGGATGGGAATGGGTGCAGTGGGAGCGCCAGGGATGGGGTTTGGTATGGGGGGAGGCATGGGAGCTATTGGGGGTGGGCGTGGCCTGTCCCCTCACAGGCGTTCTCAGTCCATGAGTATTAACGGATTCACGCAAGTGCCGTCTGTTATGTCAGCACCAGTAGGCATGCCTGGGCCTGGCTCGGGCTTTGGTCCTGGCGGGCCGTCTGGCAATCGCCCTGACTTGAGGCAAGCGGGCCGGGCGTCTAGCTTCGTGGAGCAGACACACCACCAGCAACAGCAGCAGCAGGGTCAGCAGGGGCAGGTGTTTTCCCCTGCTGCCCGCCCCAGCGTTCCAGTCAGGGGAGCAAGCTTTGGTTCTGGTGGTGCTGGTGGCGTTGGGGGTGTTGGTGGTCTTCCCAGGCCGGGATCTGGGCATGGGAGCATGGGGATGGGTCAAGGCCGGCCCAGCAGCCCCCTGGTTCTCCGGCAGGGGCAGCAACAGCATCAGCAGCAGCCGCAGCCGCAGCCGCAGCAGCAGCAGCCGCTGCTGCTGCAGCAGCAGCAGCAGCAACAGCAGCAGTTTGCACCGAGTCCCAGACTGGGGCCTGGTGGGCCGGGAGGTGCGGGCCGAGGGGGGGCAGGCATGGCAGCAGGCGGGGGGAACAACATGGGCATGCGGATGGGGCCAGGGGCGGGGACGGGAATAGGGGGAATGGGGGGGATGGGGATGGGTCCCCCGCCTGGCAGTCCCTCCGGGGGAGGGCGAGTAGGGGCGGGGTTGGCTGGTGCAGGGCGAGGGGGATTGCCAAATAGCCCAGGGGGCGCAGGGGGAGGCGGAATGGGGGGGAGGGAGGGAGGAATGGGGAGTGACGGGGGAGGGCGCGGGAGAGGGGGAGGGGCGGGCATGGGGGGACCTGGAATGAATTCGGGGTACCAGACGGGGGGAGTGGGGCATAGCCCGTTGGGAGGGACGGGACAGGGGAGAGGGGGAATGGGGGGACCAGGAGGGATGGGGGCAGCAGGAGGAATGGGAGGCATGGGGGGAACGGGGGGGATGGGGGGGATGGGTGCGCCTATGACTCCTGGCGCAGGGCACGTGGGCATGGGGAGGGGAGGGGCGGGAAACATGGGCGGTCCCCCCAGACCTGTGTCTGCTGGCGGTAAGATGATGTCAGGGGGAGGCGGGGGGATGGGCGGGGGAATGGGCGGGGGGATGGGCGGGGGCTTGGGCGGGGGGATGGGTGGAGGAATGGGTGGGGGAGGAGGAAGAGGAAGAGGAACAGCAGGGCAGGGTGGGGGTATGGGAGGACCAATGTTTATGGGAGGGAGAGGAGGGGCTCCTGGGAGGGGAGGCGGAATGGGGCGAGGAGGAGGAGCTCTAGCAGCAGGAGGAGCAGCTGTAGGAGCAGTAGGAGGAGGAGGAGGAGGTGGAGGGGGGTTGGGTACGGTGTTAGGAAGGCCGTATGTGGATGTGAATGAGTATTATATGCTGGAGGGGGGCGAGGTGGGGAGGGGGCGCGTGGGCAGCATCCGTGTGTGTGTGGCTCGGGATACGGGCGAGCAGTTTGCATGCAAGACGATTGCCAAGGATAGGCTCCAGGTGAGGAGAGGAGAGACGCAGGGGTTGAGAGAGGTTGGGAGAGTTCAGAGCGGGGATGGTGCAGGGGTTATGATACGAGTACATCGGGTCAAGGATCGGTGGTTTGCTTCCTCTATTGATCCTCACGCCTCCTCCTTTCTCCCATCTCCCATTTCCTCCCCTTCTGCCTCTCCCCATCTCCCCCTTTCCTCTCCCTGTAATGCAGTGCGAGGAGGAGGTGGAGGACGTGCGCAAGGAGGTGGCAGTGATGGAGCGGCTGAGAGACCACCCGCATGCCGTGCAGCTCGTGGCCACGTTCGAGGACGCTCAGGTGCGGTGCGGGATGGTGCAGAGGGGTTGATGATGGTGCTGGTGGCATGTGTAGATTGTGCCCAGTTCGAGGTTGCGCAGGTTCAGGATGACAAGTGTGATGGGGGGTAATGGGCGGTGATGGGGGGTAATGGGCGATGATGGGGGGTAATGGGCGATGATGGGGGGTAATGGGCGATGATGGGGGGTAATGGGCGGTGATGGGGGGTGATGGGCGGTGATGGGGGGTGATGGGCGATGATAGGGGGTAATGGGCGATGATGGGGGGTGGTGGGTGTGGGAGATGGGTGGGGATGATGGTGGCAGGAGCAGAGAAGTGCATAAAACAGTGGCTCTCTTATCCCCTCTTTTTCCTCCCTCCCTTCCCTCTCTCTCTCTCTCTCTCTCTCTCTCTCTCTCTCTCTCTCTCTCTCTCTCTCTCTCTCTCTCTCTCTCTCTCTCCGTCCAAAACGTCTTCTGTCTCTTTATCGCCTCCACTCCCCCTCCCCCATTTCTCCCTTCAAACCAGATCGTGCACCTGGTGATGCAGCCGCGCGCGGGCGGAGAGCTGTGAAAGTGCATATATCAAATGTATCTTACTCTCCCCCAACTCTTCCCTCCCTCAACTCCGTCCAATCTTGTATTTCCCAACCCCCCCAACGTCGGACCAGAGTGTGCATCTATCTGGTGATGCAGCTGTGTGCAGGCTGAGAGCTGTGGGAGCACATCAACCAGTCCCTCTCTCAAACCCCCTTTTCTCTTCCCTCCCTCTCCTCCCTCGACTCCTTCCGTCCCTCAATCTCCCCCCATCTCCTCCCCCCACTTCAACCCCAGAGCGTGCATCTGGTGATGGAGCTGTGTGCGGGCGGGGAGCTCTGGGAGCGCATCAAGCAGCGGCGGTGGTACGACGAGGGCAGTGCGGCGGCGGTGCTGCGCGTGGTGGTGGAGCTGCTGCGCGACTGCCATGCCATCGGGGTCATGCACCGCGACCTCAAGCCCGAGAACATCCTGCTCTGCACCGAGGAGAACGACGTTGACGTCAAGGTCATTGACTTTGGCGTCGCCGTCTTCTTTAAGCCTGGTGGGTTGGGTTGGCGTGGGGGGTGACTGGGATGGGATGGGATGGGATGGGATGGGATGGGATGGGATGGGATGGGATGGGATGGGATGGGATGGGATGGGGGAGAGTCTGTGGTAATGTAGGAAGGGAGAGTCCTGCTGTGCACCAAGGAGAACGACGTTGATGTGAAGGCCATTGACTTCGGCGTCGCCGTGTTCTTCAAGGGACGGTAACGTGGGGTGGTGGCGTGGGTTAGAAGGGAGGAAGGAGAGTGGAGGTGGAGATGGGGAATGTTTTTTTGGTTCTGATTCAGGGCGGGTTCTGAAAGTTTGTTATCAGTTCATGCATATTATAGGGCTCAGCCACTTGCGCGGAACGATAAGTGATTTTCCTCCCCGCCCTTCAACTATCATGTCACCATCCCATCCCCGCTTTTCCCCATTCCCTCATGTGCATGCCTCAGGGGACGTGTACTCAGACATTGTCTGCAGCCCTCTGTACTTGGAGCCTGAGGTTCTGCATGAGGCGCCTCAACAGCCATCTCGTCACCACCTCATTCCCACTCCCCCCCTCATCCCCTCATGTGCATACCTCAGGCGATGTGTACTCAGACATTGTCGGCAGCCCTCTGTACATCGCGCCCGAGGTTCTGCACGAGGCGTACGGGCCAGAGTCCGACATATGGAGCGCAGGAGTGATTCTGTACGTGCTGTTGGCGGGTGTGCCTCCCTTCCGCGGGGACAGCGACGAGGCCGTGTTCCAGGCGATTCTCGAGCAAGAGCCGGACCTGCAGCGCGCCCCCTGGCCTGATGTTTCGGATGAGGGCAAGGATCTGGTGCTGCGCATGCTGACAAAGGACCCTGCCCTGCGAATCACGGCTGATGATGTTCTTGGTGAGTGTGTTGTGGAGGCTGAGTTGGGGTGTGGAACTAAGCCTGTGCTGTGCTGGTTGGGGAGGGAACTTGTTATTGAAGGTGTAGCCTGTTTGGGTGCCTATGTGCTGATTCATAGTAAGGTTATAGATTGCCTCTGTTCTTCCTTCCCCAATACATTTTTGCTCCGATTAAACTCTCATCCACTTTCTGGTCTCCTCCCTGTGCCTGTTTGTGGACCAGACCACCCGTGGCTGAGCATGTAACATCGACACCATCTAATGTGGTAGCTGTTGAATCCGAACACTAACTAGATCTAGTTCTAGCATGTTTGGGCTCGATGTGATGTAGATCGTATCTGGACACATGCCATTGAACAGGCTGATAAATTACATTACATGTAATGCACTGCGACAAAGCCCAAATCATGTTATTGAAGAATGGAAGTGTGCACAGACTTTTCATGGTTAACTGGGCCTGTAAGGACTGAAGATAGGATGCCTGTAAATAGGTAGTTGGTGATAGTAGCAATTTGCAGAAAATGTGTAGTCCTATGGGAAAAGCAACACATGGCTTCTGGCATGACAAAGTACAGTGCAGCAATGTACACTGTACAAGCTTGTCAGAGATTCCATCCACAGGGTCGGTTTGTGGAGCAAGAATATTCTCGAGCCTCTCATCTCATTTCCCCAGGTGAAGCCCTGCAAGTGTACGAGCTGGTGAAGGCAGTTGAGATTGCGGACCCAATTCGGAAATGGAGGTGGTTCAAAATTTGGAACAGAATCGATTTTTTTTTTTTTCGGCAACCTGGAAAGAAGAAATGCCGACGTGGAACGCGAGCCCCTCCATGTGGGCTGGGGACAGCCCCTTAGTGGCGCAAGGGTCACAGCCACGTACTCAACACATGAGATTCGGCTGACTTGTCACCATGTCGACGGCTGTCTCGATGGCTCAGCAGCCACATTGTCTAATCAGAATGAAGTAAAATTTGCGGTGACCTCTAGCCTTCGCGGCCCGTGTTGCATCAGCACGATTCCTTCCTGAGAGCCTTCTGGCCTTATCCAAAGGCTTCCATTGGTTATCCAGATCGCTACCTGCCCGATGTTGTGTGCTTCCCAAAATCCCACAGTCGAAGCCGTTGGTGTGTATGGGGAACCAGAGCAAATCCTCTCTCTCTGCGCTTGCTCATCCCCCTAACTCGCAATGCCGCGTGGTGTCCGCCACCACATTCCGCCTCGGAACCATCCAACGTTTCCGATTGGCCTTCAAACATTCGACCTTCGTTGCGGCCTTGAAGCACTCGACCACGTGGCAACCCTCGGAAGGTTCTGCTTGCAGATTGGCTTCCACCAGCTTTCCGCGGCTGCGATATTCGGGGGAAGCGGAATCTCTTTCCCTTCTTCCCCTTCCCCTCGTTCTCTGCAACACAGTGTAGCTCCCAGAAAGCTACAGTGTCTCCAGAGAATTCCTTCCCTTAGGTTCTGTAGATTAGCTGCCTATACCCCCTCCATCAATCTTCCTCCTTTCTCACTTTGCTTCTTGGAAGCAGCAGTAATTTTGTTCGTTGGAAACGGCGACTTCTAGGCGCTTCCTCAGCCGTATCCTCCCGCGCGTTGGAGGGCAGTTTCAAAACTTGTTCGCCTCGCCGTCCCAACCTCAGATTACGGTCCTTCCGCAGCCAGCTAACGTCCACGTGCAGCCGTTTCTCTCACGACTTCATCGTCTGCTCGCTCGCGGTTTCTCCACCGATTCGAGATCTCGCATATCATCGCACGAAGGAACTATTAATCAACGATCCACAATGTCGCCGACTGAAGAGATGATGTCGAAGGTCCACGAGCTGGATCCGCATCTGTCGGTTCACGACGCGTTGGAGCAGGTCAATGTTAAGGTCGGCGATGACGATATCCTCGTGGAGGACGAGGAGTTGCTTCTGGATTGCTTCCTCGGAATGCTGAAGGAGCTCGAGGAGAATGAGCTCGCCGAAGCTGTGAGTTTATTCTTATCATTCAGTCACGCTCACATTATTGAGAAATCTTACCAGTCCGCGATCACAATTGAGTTGACGGGCGGAATGCACATGCGGAACGACAAATTACAATTCTGGGTGCGTAAGCGTGTAACTGGTAGCCTAGTTATCGTCATTTCCCTGGATCCGAAGATGTGTTGTCTATATTTACCTGATTCTTTTTCGTGCATTAAAATTTTTCAGATACCTTGGATTACTTCCATTTATTTGTCGGCAACAATTAACATTCATTAATCCTTCAATGATATGTGTTCTTGCAGGTCCAAACATGTCTGGGTCTGTCGTCCCAGTACAACGCGAGCAACGACCCTGAGGATCTTAGGAAGCTAGAGGAGGTGGTCGACTCCCTTGACCCGGCTGAGTCTATTCTCTTCGCTTCCGCCTTCTCCCACATGCTCACGCTGGGAAATATTGCGGGTAGGCATCTTACGCCTGCGTTTGTCTCATTCCCGACACTATTTAATTTCTCGGGTGTTCTTGATTGCTTGCTCACATTTTTATATCTCTATGTTCCTCCTGCTTCGACCTTAACCGTTTCTGGTGTTCTGAATCATTGCATTTACCCTTACTATTTCATTCTGTCCTGAGCAGAGGAGATTCAGATGGCTCATCGTGCGCGGAAGAGCAAGGTCGGGTCCATTGAGGAGGAAGGCAGTGCGCTTACCGAGTCCAACATAACGGAGACGTTCCAGAAGCTGATCCGGCTGGGCAAGACGCCTGAGGAGATCTTCGAGGGTCTGAAGCAGCAGCGCGTGGACCTCGTGCTCACCGCTCACCCGACACAGTCCATCCGCCGCTCCCTGCTGCAGAAGCACGCCCGGTATGCGCCCGGTTTCAGTCTCTCGACTTGTAATCGTGTTTGTTTGTTTGATTGATTAATTGTTTCTTTTCTCTTTGGGATCTTCAATCTCCTGCACGCATATGCGACGAGGATTGAATCATTGTCCCGTGTTTGGGTTAACTCGTTGTAGGATGAGCAGTTGATCTACGGCACTTTGTCCGCATTTGGTTCAGTAATAGGTCGACGGACCATGTAGATTAAACCCCTAAAACTTCTCACCAATATTCCCGTGCTCGCCTTCTACCCTGTGGCCAGAATTCGCACCCTGCTGTCTCAGCGGCACGCCCAGAAGTACACCAAGGAGAGGCAGCAGGAGCTCGTGGAGGCTCTCAAACGGGAGGTGCGTAGGCCCTATTCGACCGTTGCGTATGAAACTCTTGAAGGACACGGTTTCTGCCCTTTCTCAACGCCCATCTCTATGGCTGATTCCTCTCCGTTCAACCGTTTCTCATTTCTGCTCCCCCTCAATGACGGCAAGAACAGATCCAAGCGGCGTGGCGCACGGACGAGATCCGGCGCACGCAACCGACGCCGCAGGACGAGATGCGCGCGGGGATGAGTTACTTCTACGAGACCATCTGGAAGGGCCTTCCCGAGTTCCTGCGCCGCGTCGACACCGCCCTGCGCAGCATCGGCATCGAGGAACGCCTGCCGTACAACATCCCCATCATCCAGTTCTCGTCCTGGATGGGCGGCGACAGGGACGGTGAGTGAATTGGTTTCCTTTCCGCCTTTTTCCTCTCTTTGAGATGAGGGTAAATGCGTATGAACTCCAAGAACGGGGGGCTAGCGGAACAGTAGAAAGACTGGGATTGGCAGTCTATGTTCTCCTGCTCTCAGCGACACGCACAGAACTACCTGCTAACCTTTTCACGCGTGTGTTGAATTCGAAGGATTCTCGCAACGGAGTGTAGGCTCAATCTCCCCACTCTTCGCTGCTCACCTGGCCAAACCTCGCCGTTTTCTTTCCTCGCTTCGCATGATTCGATCTTCCTAACCTGCAGGCAACCCCCGTGTGACGGCATCCGTGACGCGTGATGTGGTGCTGCTGTCGCGTCTCATGGTCGTCAACCTCTACATCTCGCAGATCGAGGAACTCCTCTTCGCGGTACGCACCTATCCATTCCTCCTTAGGGGCCATATGCCATCCCCTATCATGTGTCCCTCTCCGTTTCACCCTAGCGCCAGTTTGTTTTCCCTTTTACGTCTCATGCCGTCTCGTCTGGTTTCGTCTATTCCTTCGCATCCCAGATTATTCCCTAAACATCGCTGCTTCCCCGCCGCTGCTGGCTCTCTCTCCGCTTCTCTTCTGCGTTCCCCTCTGCGCGTCCTTGCGTGTCCTTCGTCGCTCCACAGATGTCCATGTGGCGTGGAAGCGACGAGCTCAAGGAGAGGGCTCAGGCAGTACAGGCAGGGGCAAAGAAGCACAGCAACCACTACATTGGTGAGTTAATACACCACTGGCAATGAGTCACACCACTGGCAACCGCAAGTGACTGATTTTAAGCAGTCCTTGTCGCTCTTATACCCTCCCATCCTTGCCCATTTTCGTTCGTTTTTTCTCCCCGCCTCCCCACTTTCCTTCTCAGGTCACTTCTCCGTCGTTTCTCTTTGTGCCGCTTGAACCCTGAACCTCACCACGTAATGAGTGAATTGTTCGAGTATGCTTTTCCTCGCCTGCCTTTCACCTCGCCCATGTCTCCCAACCCTATCTGTGCTCTGCAGAGTTCTGGAAGCAGGTGCCGGGCAACGAGCCATACCGTGTGGTGCTGTGCGAGGTGCGCGATCGCCTGTGGAACACTCGCGACCACTACCAGCAGCTCATGGTGTCCGGTCACTCTACCTTCAGCACTGAAGACATCTACACCTCCGCCTCCCAGGTACGCTGCTACCTCTTGTCTAGGGTGGGTCCCTCTGCGCCCCTTTGCTTTCCCCTCTGCGTCCCTATGCTTCTCTCTTTCTTACTCTTCACCCTCTCCCTCTTCTCGCTACCTGTTCCCTTCCTCTCACTCAATCCCCATCTCCATCTCTCCCTCTATTCCCCCCTACCTCCCTCCTCTCCGCCCTCTCCCTCCATTACCTTCCTTCCCCAACTCCCCTGGTCGGAACCATCGCATAGGCCCAGCTCCCCGAATTCCAGTTTTTTAGGCGCTTAATTCCCCCCCCCCCCACCCGACTCCCTCGATTCCTCCCACCTCCCTCTCTCCCCCTTCCCTGCCAGCTGATAGGCCGCCAGAGCTCTGCCACCGCTCCCTGCACGCCTCCCGGAGCAATCGCAGAGGGCAAGCTCCTCGACTTCCGACTTCTGAGGCGCCTCACTGAAATATCTCTTCGTCCCTCCCTCCCCACCAGCTGATGGAGCCGCTGGAGCTCTGCTACCGCTCCCTGCACGCCTCCCTGGACGGCGCCATCGCAGAGGGCCAGCTCCTCGATTTCCTGCGGCAGGTCGCCTGCTTCGGTCTCTCCCTCGTCAAACTCGACATTCGCCAAGAGTCTGACCGCCACACAGACGCTGTAGACACCATCACGCAGCACCTGGGGCTGGGGAGCTTCAAGGAGTGGAGCGAGGAGAAGAAGGTGGAGTGGCTGGTGTCTGAGCTGCAGAACAAGCGGCCTCTCTTTGGCCCAGACATGCCTATGTCGGACGAGGTCCGCGAGGTGATCTCGACGCTCCATGTGATTGCAGAGCTCCCGGAGGACTCTCTATCGGCGTATATCATTTCCATGGCGACGTCTGTGTCGCACGTGCTGGAGGTGCAGCTGCTGCAGAAGGCGTGCGGGGTGACTCCCGCCCGGCGCGTCGTGCCGCTGTTTGAGCGCCTGGACGATCTGAACAACGCGCCTATTGTCCTTGACGCGCTCCTCAGCATCCCCTACTACAAGGAGATTATCAACGGCCGTCAGGAGGTCATGATTGGCTACTCCGACTCAGGGAAGGACGCCGGGCGTCTGGCTGCCGCCTGGGCTCTGTACAAGGCCCAGGCGAGCCTGGTGGAGGTGGCAGGGAAGCACGGGGTGCATCTGACGATTTTCCACGGCCGCGGTGGGACTGTGGGTCGTGGTGGAGGCCCCACGCATCTGGCTATTCTGTCGCAGCCGCCTGGGTCTGTGGACGGGTCGCTGAGGGTGACGGTGCAGGGAGAGGTCATTGAGCAATCGTTTGGCGAGGAGAACCTGTGCTTCCGTACTCTGCAGCGCTTCACTTCTGGTGAGCTGATTGGAAGGGGAAGGGGGAGGGGGGGGGGGGGGGGGGATTGGGGTTTAGGGAGAGGGTTTTGAGGTAGTCTACGGTTGGTGTTCATTGAACGGTGAGAAGTATGAAGTGGGGGATGACGGGTTGTTGGTTTGGTTTGTGACTGACATAGTGGCGTTTCCATTTTCCATGTGTCCTCCCTCTCAACACCCGGCCGCCCTGCGCTAAGCTTCCACCTCACCTCCTTTCTCCTTGCCCCTTCTGGCTCTCACCTACCCCACTCCATTTCTATCTATCGGTGTCCCTTAATCTGTCCATTCTCTGTGTGTGCGTCCCTTCCTACTTGTTTTCTCTGTCCAGCCACTCTGGAACATGGCATGCATCCCCCAGTGTCGCCCAAGCCCGAGTGGATTGCACTCATGGACGAGATGTCACCGCTCTCGACCGAGGAGTACCGCTCCATTGTCTTCAAGCATCCGCGATTCGTTGAATACTTCCGATCCGTGAGTTCCGCTTCCCGCCTCGGTCACTCACATCCACATCCTCTCGTCCACTCGCTCTCGCTCTCCTCTCTCCATCTCCTCGCCCCCCCTCTCCTCTCCCTCGTCCTCTTCTTGTCTTCCACGCGCATCACCAATTGAACCTGTCCTTTCGTCCTCGCTGTACACCCCCTCACCCTCCCCCACCAGGTGACCCCGGAGACTGAGTTTTCCCGCATGAACATTGGCAGCCGCCCATCCAAGCGCAAGCCTGGTGGCGGTGTGGAGACCCTGCGCGCCATTCCCTGGATCTTCGCCTGGACACAGGTACTGCTTCCAGTCTCTTTGTGAGGTTCCTCATACATAGACGCCTGGACACACACACACACACACTGCTTCCTTTGTGAGGTGAATGGAAGCCTCATTTTCGGAATGCCTTGCAACCTCAGCATTTTGGGGGTGCCCCCATCCGGGTTCCCTCAGGCTCGTTTCCCCCCAAAACCACTCGAGCACTTGCACACACATGTGCACCAACATGCCCATGCACACACACTCTGGGCCAACATCTGCACAGATGCACGCAACCGCACGTGCACACACCCACACCTCATAGCACCTAACCTGACACCTCCCCCCACCCACACACCCCAACCCCCGCAGACGCGCTTCCATCTCCCAGTCTGGCTTGGTCTGTCAGCGGCCTTCCGCGGTGTGCTGGAGAGCAACCCCAAGCACCTGGAGACGCTGCGCGACATGTACCAGAACTGGCCCTTCTTCCGCGTCACCATTGACCTCGTGGAAATGGTGTTCGCCAAGGGTGACCCCCGCGTCGCTGCGCTCTACGAGAAGGAGCTTGCGAACCCCGAGCTGCACGAGTTTGGGGTGGAGCTGCGCCGCAAGTATGAGGAGGCCCGCGAGCAGATCCTTAAGGTGAGAGCCTGGGGACGATGGCGAGGATTAGAGAAGTGGAGGCATACGAAGGAGGGAAAGCGGAGGGAGGAGGGGTTTGAGATTAGGGAAGAGACTCTAGGAAAGATAAAGGAAATGGCGAGGTCAATGGGGAAATGATGTCTCAATGTGTCCTCGTTTTGTTGCGCTTTTCTTCGTATGTGAGCAGATTACCGGTCGCTCAGTGGTGCTGGAAGGAAACGCACCCCTGCGCCAGCGCCTGCTTATCCGAGAGCCATACATCACACCGCTCAACGTGCAGCAAGTTCTCACGCTCAAGCGCATGCGCTCGGGCGCCCATGCCTCTGCCGATGCTAACGGCCTGGCAATGGCACGCACCAGCAGCGGGAGCAGCAGCGGAGGCGGTTCCATGAAGTACAATAAGTCTTCTGAAGTTGTGACTCTGAATTCGGCCTCGGAATATGCGCCTGGCCTGGAGGATACGCTGATTATCACCATGAAGGGAATTGCAGCTGGCATGCAGAACACTGGTTAGGTGCTTACTGGTCTTGGTCGACAGTCTTGGTTCCTTGTTACTTCCGTAAGCTTGGGTATTTAAGCCTAGTGGCTGTAGACCTCGTAACCACCTAGTGCCATCACTCTTGTGTCCATGTTTTGTGGTGGAGACCATGCAGTGCTTTCATCTGACTTGGGTGCGCAACAGTGAAAAAAGCTTGTATGATGCACATCACACCGTAGCATGTCCTATGCAAAGACTGTCCAAATGTACTCCCAAAACCTTGGAAGATTGAACTTGCTTCACCTCATACGTTTGAGGGATCCAAGATAACTGAGGAAACTGCAAACGCAAAACAATGGATGCAGTACCGTAACATTCTGAAGAATGCTAACATTATAGCGGAGTATAAAGCCCCGTCGAGCCTTTTTCACGAATATACCCTTGTTTGTTTTATTCTTTTTTCTGGAAGAGCCAACCCACTAAAATCTACCCACTTGTTTTGTACTCTCAGTTAATCAGTGTCGGTATGTTTCAGGCGTTTGGGTGCCAGGCTCCACTTCGTCATACAGGAGGACTGCAATAGCGAGGTACTTACATCCCCGATGTCCATCAATACAGAATCTCTCGGCTTGCCGAGTCACAACAACCCAGGCGATATCAGAATCTAGTGTCTCCTCCTGAGAGTCCAGTCGCACAGCTGAAGCACCGAGTCTCTGATATCCTCTCCTCACAATCACGCCATGGTATTGGCAGCGCTTACCCCGCTCGTTCGCCCTGTGTCCGCAATGCTGCGCTGCGCGCCCGCGAGGCGCCATTCCGCCTTCTTCGGCGCCGCGGTGCCCGCGGCTTCCGCCGCTCCGGCGCGTTTCTCCCGCCGACCCGCCGCGACTCCCGCCGTTGCGTCCGTCGCGCGGTCAGAGTCAGAGCCAACGCCCAATGCGCCGCAGTCGCGCGCAAGCGGGTCGAAGAATCTTCTCGACGCGCACAACCAGCGCAGTCAGGCTAACAGCCGCACGCTCACCACGCGTGCTGCCGCGTCGCAGGGGGAGGTCGTTGCTGGCGCAGGTACTTATCACAGCGCCAACATTTTCTGGCGCCATCTGGTATTTATCTAGCGTTTCCTGGCGCCGGCATTCTTCTGGGACAGGCATTTTCTTGAGCCGGTATCTTCTGGTGAAGAAATCCCGGCGGTACCTACTAGGGGGAACGGGCGTGGTGATTCCAAACGGTCACTTTTTTTTGTGCGATGTTGCTCGCACATTCTAGTTAGTGAGGCGCGCTAGCGCTTACAAAGAATCGTCTCAGTACGGACGGATGGATGTCGCTTTGTTACATTGGCCGTTGGTTCAATTCAACTCAGTATGGGAGCGTGTACGCCCTCCCTCAGGTGCTCCTCAAATCAGATTTCCGCCTGAATTTCAAAAGAGGGCAATCTCATGTGTAATAATTATAATAATTATATATTTCCCGCATTACCACTGAATCCTCCCCAAACTGCCCGTGCAGTTGCGTCCATCCACACAATGGGGCTTTCTGGGCCTAGTCATCATGGGCAGCGCCATGGCGCGCAACGCTCCCGCAGCCCCCCTCCCCACATCTTCCCCCTTCCCCATTCCCCTTTCCCCCTCCCTCCCCTTTGTGCACTCCCAATGCGCATTTGCGCCCCCACGATCGACTTCCTGGGCCTGGGCATCATGGGCAGCGCCATGGCGCTGCAACGTCAGCCATCTTCCCCCTCCCCTTTCCCCTTCCCCTTTCCGCCTCCCCCGCTCCCCCCGTGATTCCCGTGCAGTAGCGTCCATCCCCACGATCGGCTTCCTGGGCCTGGGCATCATGGGCAGCGCCATGGCGCTGCGGCTGGTGCGGTCAGGCTATCGCGTGACGGTGTGGAACCGCAGCCCCAAGAAGACGCGCCCGCTTGTCGAGGCCGGTGCAGTGTGCGTGCAGTGGGGTGGGATGCGGTGTAGCGCGGTGGGGTTGGTTGGCAGGGACTTGGGGAATGGTGGTTGTGTTGGGTGGGGCTCAATCTCATGGGGTGGCTGGTGAGGTCGGGCTACCGGGTGACGGTGTGGAACCGCAGCCCCAAGAAGACGCGCCCTCTTGTCGAGGCCGGTGCAGTGTGCGTGCAGTGGGGTGGGATGCGGTGTAGCGCGGTGGGGTTGGTTGGCAGGGACTTGGGGAATGGTGGTTGTGTTGGGTGGGGCTCAATCTCATGGGGTGGCTGGTGCGGTCGGCCTACCGGGTGACGGTGTGGAACCGCAGCCCCAAGAAGACGCGCCCGCTTGTTGAGGCTGGTGCAGTGTGCGTGCAGTGGGATAGAGTGGGGTGGTGTAGGAGGAGAGGAGGGTTGAAGTGTGCGCGTGAGAGCGATGGTGGTGGTTGTCTTATTGTGAGGCCTGTCGCGTGTTTGTGTGAGTATGTCTGTGGTCCAGACTCCGCACATGTCAGTGCTACGAGCTTTGACCACTGCAAAACACTCTTACTAACCTCCTCCTCTTGCTCTCCTCCCCTTCTCCTCCCTCCCTTCCCCCTCCCCATCCCCGTCCCCCTTCCCCGCCTGCCTTTCCCACCTCCCCCCTCCCTTCCCCACACCATGGCAGCGCGGCGCCATCAGCAGCAGCGGTGACAGCAGCGTGTGACATCACCTTCGCCATGCTCTCCGACCCTGCTGCTGCTGTGCGTCCCACACCCAGTCCCACCCCACTGCAAGTCCCATACACACGCACACACTCGCACTCACACTCACACGCACACACTCACATAGCTACATGTGCGACTTATACCTGCTTTCCCTTCGGTAGCACCATCACCACTTGTCTCTCGTGTCGTCTCACCATCTTCACACGTACCCCGCCTTCCTGCCTCTGACTTCTCACGTGTGTGCGCAAGACGTGTGTGCGCGAGACGTGTGTGCGCGAGACGTGTGTGCGCGAGACGTGTGTGCGCGAGACGTGTGTGCGCGAGACGTGTGTGCGCGAGACGTGTGTGCGCGAGACGTGTGTGCGTGTGCGTGTGTTTGTGTGTATGTGTGTGTGCGTACATGTGTTTGCATGCATGTGTGTGCGTACATGTGTTTGCATACATGTGTGTGCGTACATGTGTTTGCATGCATGTGCATGCGTGCATGTGTGTGTGTGTGTGCGTGCATGTGTATGTGTGTGCATGTGTGTGCGTGCGTGTGTATGTGTGCATGTGTGTGCTCATGTGTGCGTGCATGTGTGCGTGCGTTTGTGCATGTATGTGTGTGCATTTATGCGCGCGTGCATGTGTACATACATCCGTGCATGCAGTTGGAAGTGGCATGTGGGCCAGATGGCGCAGCGGAGGGATTGAAGCCGGGAAAAGGGTGAGCTCCAAGTCATGCAGCCAGCACTTACAGAGATAATTTTTAATTTGACTAAAAAGCAGCCGGCACTTACAGAGACCTTTTTTTAGTTGACTAAAAAGCAGCAGGTACTTACAGAAATCTTCTCACGTGCACGCATGCAGGAGCATGCATGTGGTTGCATGGGTCTGCGTGGCCGCATGGGTGTGTGTGGTCGCATTCGTGTGTGTTTCCACATCTTTGTAAATTGTAACCATGTCATGCACAACCGTATACCACACTTCATACCTGCACCACACCACACCGCACCGCACCACGCCACACCACACCACACCACACCACACCCCGCCTCTTCCCCCATTCCGTGCCATCAATCAGCTACGTGGACGCATCAACGGTGGACGTGGAGACAGCTGTCAGGGTGGCGCAGGCCGTGCGCGCCACAGGAGCACAGTTCCTCGAGGTGAGGAAAGAGGGGGGAGGGAGAGAGGGGGGGTGAAGGGGCAGCAAGCATGAGCACAAGGAGTTTGAGGGTTGTCTGCTGCTTTAGCAGCCACACCAGGCCGTGCGTGTCACTGGAGCACACTTCCTCGAGGTGAGGAAAGAGGGGGGAGGGCGGGAGGGAGAGACGGAGGTGAGGAGGCAGGGGGGAGGGAGGGAGGGTGAAGGGGCAACAAGCAAGAGTGCAGGGAGTTTGTGGGGTTGTCTGCTGCTTTGGCAGTCAGACCAGGCAGTGCGCGGCACTGGAGCACAGTTCCGCGGCGTGAGGAGGGAGCCTGGGAGGGTGAAGGGGCAGCAAGGATGATTTCAGGGAGGTAGGTAGGGTGGAGGATTTCTGCTGTTTCGCTGTGATCCAGTGGGTGACACTGGCTGTGTGCGCCCACTGGATCACAGATCTTCAAGGTGAGGAGGGATCCTGGGAAGGAGGGAGGACGGGAGGAACGGAAGGAGGAAGGGAGGGAGGCGCCGGTGTTGGCATGAAAAAATCATCTTCCGAGTCAACTTCTGAGTTGCCTTGAATCTCCCTTCCCTTCCCTCAGAATTGACCTGCTCCGCATTCCCTGTTTCCCATCCCACCACGCACAGGCGCCCGTGTCCGGGTCGAAGACGTCAGCGGAGAACGGCACGGCACGACACGCTCATCTTGCGAGGTGACTCAAAACCCACAGCGTCGTTCCATTCGAGGTGACTCAGAGCTCTGCCCCGTTTCCCCTGTTTCCCACGCGCGCACAGGCGCCTGTGTCGGGGTCAAAGACGCCAGCGGAGAACGGCAAGCTGATCTTCCTGGCAGGTGGATTCATAAGCCAGTCTCCTCTCGAATGGTCTCAAAAGAGCTGCGCTCCCGTTTCTCCCTCTCTCCATATTCCCCCCCACAGGCGCCTGTGTCGGGGTCAAAGACGCCAGCGGAGAACGGCAAGCTGATCTTCCTTGCAGGGGGCGACTGGGACCTGTACGAGCGCGCTGGACCCATGCTCAATATCATGGGCAAGGTGAGGGCGCTGGACCCATGCTCAATATCATGGGCAAGGTGAGGGCGCTGGACCCATGCTCAACATCATGGGCAAGGTGAGGGCGCTGGACCCATGCTCAACATCATGGGCAAGGTGAGGGCGCTGGACCCATGCTCAACATCATGGGCAAGGTGAGGGCGCTGGACCCATGCTCAACATCATGGGCAAGGTGAGGGCGCTGGACCCATGCTCAACATCATGGGCAAGGTGAGGGCGCTGGACCCATGCTCAACATCATGGGCAAGGTGAGGGCGCTGGACCCATGCTCAACATCATGGGCAAGGTGAGGGCGCTGGACCCATGCTCAACATCATGGGCAAGGTGAGGGCGCTGGACCCATGCTCAACATCATGGGCAAGGTGAGGGCGCTGGACCCATGCTCAACATCATGGGCAAGGTGAGGGCGCTGGACCCATGCTCAACATCATGGGCAAGGTGAGGGCGCTGGACCCATGCTCAACATCATGGGCAAGGTGAGGGCGCTGGACCCATGCTCAACATCATGGGCAAGGTGAGGGCGCTGGACCCATGCTCAACATCATGGGCAAGGTGAGGGCGCTGGACCCATGCTCAACATCATGGGCAAGGTGAGGGCGCTGGACCCATGCTCAACATCATGGGCAAGGTGAGGGCGCTGGACCCATGCTCAACATCATGGGCAAGGTGAGGGCGCTGGACCCATGCTCAACATCATGGGCAAGGTGAGGGCGCTGGACCCATGCTCAACATCATGGGCAAGGTGAGGGCGCTGGACCCATGCTCAACATCATGGGCAAGGTGAGGGCGCTGGACCCAAGCCCTTGCTTCTCTTCTTGCACTCATCTGCCGCTGCTCCATTCCATCCACATACGAACCTGCCTTCCGTCTATGCCCGATGCATTCTCGCAAACTCTGTCCTCATTCTTGTCTCATTATCTCAATGCATCTTCTCCCTCCCTCCTTCCTTTTATACGTCCCTTTCTGCTGCGTGTATGGCATTCGTCTCTCTCCCTCTGGCCCCTTTCCACATGCAGTCCACGTTCTTCCTGGGCCCGGAGGGCAGTGGGGCGGCCATGAAGCTGGTTGTCAACATGGTCATGGGAAGGTGGGCGCCTCTCTCACTTGTGTCCTATCCTTGTTAGAGCGAATTTTCAAGGAGGAGTTTATGTGAAAACCAGGTGAGTTTTAAATGAGGCCTTAAGGGCGTGTGGAACGTCCGGACCTCAAGAACGGTTGAAAACGTTTTATTCGTGTACTGCTTTGTTTCTGTAAGTTACATTATGTTGCGGAGTGGTGGCAGTTCAGTCTTTTTCAGACTCTTTCAATATGTTCCACGCCCTAAGCCCGCATCACTGGCAGTCTTGAAAAGTGATTCAGCTGCTGAGTATCGAGAGAGGAATGCCGTATTAATCTGTTGACCTACTTAGAATACAAGAAAAAACAGATTCAGCTTAATCTGTTGACTGACTCAGTGCACTTGTTGCCATCCGTACTTCGCCCCCTCCTCACCTCTCTCCGTCCCCCCTACCCTCCGCATTGGTCCTCCCCAACCTCAGTATGATGGCTTCATTCGCTGAAGGGCTAGCACTGGGAGAGCGAGTGGGGCTGGATAAGAACACCATCCTGCAGGTGAGCTCTCTCCTAGGGAACCCCGGACGACTTTTGATATGTCTCATAACAGCACCATTCTGCAGGTGAGCTCTCCTAGAAAACCCCAGAGACGGTCCATGTTGTTCTTTGTGTGGCCACGATAAAGTTTCAAACGCTTAGTTGCATCTCACCTTTCAAAGGCAGGGGGGGGAACGTGGCTGTCAGCATGTGTGTAGGTAGGTATGTCTATGCATGCGTGTAGCTGACATATGGGTGTCTCCTTGCATTCGCACTGTCACACATGTGCATAAACACAAACACGCATACACGCATACACGCATGTGGCGTGTGGCATATCTATGATGGTGTGGCGATCCCGTATCATCAGGTGATAGAGCAGGGTGCCATCGCAAGCCCCATGTTCTCTCTCAAGGGCCCTCTCATGATCGACGGCAACTATGCACCCGCCTTCCCACTCAAGCACCAGCAGAAGGCAAGATCCCGCCACCCCACCTCTCTCACAGGCACCACCTCACCCGCTCCAGTTCCTTTCCCTGTCGTTTTCTCTCTCACCTTATGGTCTGCTCTTTCCTTCCTTTTGCTCATTCCCTTCCCTCCCCCCTATTTCCCCCTTCTTCCACTTCTGTCCTTACCTCTGCTGCTCGCTGCAAACTCAAATTCGAATACAAACATGCTTTTGGGACACCTCAAGTTCCAGCTTTCCAACCCAGTCCTCAAGTGTCAAATCTTAGAAGCAATCCCCTTACTCTTATATTCAGAGTCCCAAACCTGACAACCCCTGCAGGATCTGCGTCTGGCTTTGGGCCTGGGAGGCGAGTTGGCACAGCCACTCCCCGTGGCACACTTGTCGCAGCCTTTTGAGGTGCCTCAGAACTCAATATCCTACTCTCAGACTTATCCTGAACCTGCATCCCCTCACAACCCACCCATACAGGATCTGCGTCTGGCGCTGGGTCTGTGTGACGACTTGGCATAGCCTCTGCCCGTGGCTGCCGCAGCCTTTTGAGGCGCCTCAAAAATCATTTTCCAACTCTCAGACTTATCCTGAACCTGCATCCCCTCAGAACCAACCCATGCAGGATCCGTCCGTGTCTGACGCTGGGCCTGGGGGACGACTTGGCACAGCTGCTCACTTGCTGAAACCTCAACCTGCATCCTGCAACCCCTCACTCACAACCAACCCATGCAGGATCTGCGTCTGGCTCTGGGTTTGGGCGACGACTTGGCACAGCCTCTGCCCGTGGCAGCTGCGGCCAACGAGGTGTTCAAGAAGGCGCGGCGGGAGGGGCATGGCCGGGACGACTTCAGCGCCGTGTTTGAAGCTGTGAGGCTGCAGCAGCGCGAGGACTGATGAGGAGCGCTGCATCACAGGGAGCATGGGGAGGAGCGCTGGGCTGGATCCCAGGGAGCTGTTTTTGAGGCGCCGCGGAAACAGACGGCAGGGACGAGTTGAGTTTTGTGTTCGAGGCTGTGAGGCTTCAGCAGCGCGAGGACTGACTGATGATGAGAGCTGCTTGGGCTTGGGCTGTTCCCACAAGTGTACAAGAGAGGACTCACCTCACCCTTATACTTGTTTTGGCCAATTTTGTACTGTATCACGCCTTCCTAACGTCTTGGATTATTTTGTGGACCTTGAGTATGGTAACTGAGAAGCCCTGTAAGTTGTATCTTGTAACTGACCACCAGCCAGAAAGAGCTATTCTGTACACTATGTAAAAGTACCGGTGCGAGTCATAAAGTACAGAACACAGCTGGAAAATAGCATGAATATACATCACTGCTTGTTTACGCTCAAGGAACTGTTCATGCAGTGAATGAAGGAGGTGCCTACCATGCCAGGCTCTAAACTGCGTTGCAATGCACCTCATTCCTCCCTGGGATCCAAGACATCAATCGAACCATGCCCTATCCCCCCCCCACGTGTTAAATCCGTTTGTGCACTCGCAGAATACATCCCTGCATGTGCATTCACATGCGAGTGCACAGCGTGCGTGTGTGTGGGATGTGTGATGCTGCTTGCACTGCTAACAGCAACATGCCCACCACCACCAGCACCGCCAATGCCACCACCACCCACACCCGCACCAGCAACACCAACGCTGCCACCACCACCAGCAACACTGGAGCTACTGCCTATGACTATACCCGTGGTAACATGGGAGAGGGGTGCTCGTCTCGTGAAGCGAACGGCCAAGGGAAGGAACAAGCGGTAGAAGAGCCAGACGAGGAGTGGGGCGGTCACCAGCCATGCGAGCACCTGATGGTGTGAGAGGGAAACAGGGAGGGATGGAGGAGCAACTTTTGAGACAGTCTCAAAAGTCAGAGTAAAGTGGAGCAACAAGCGGTAGAAGAGCCAGACGAGGAGCGGGGCGGTCACGAGCCATGCGAGCACCTGATGGTGTGAGAGGGAGACAGGGAGGGATGGAGGAGCAGCTTCTGAGACACCCTCTCAAGTCAGAGTAAAGCGGAGCAGCAAGCGGTAGAAGAGCCAGACGAGGAGCGGGGCGGTCACGAGCCATGCGAGCACCTGATGGTGTGAGAGGGAGACAGGGAGACAGGGAGAGGGCAACAACTTTGAAACGTGTCAGGAGTTTGAAGTGGTGCATGAGGAGAGGCGTTGCCAGCCAGCAACCATGTGATAAACCTGTTGGTGTTGAGAGGGAGAACAAAAGAGCAACAAAGTTTCAAAATGTTTTTTAAGTCAAAAAGGGGGGCAGGGCAGCAACTGGCAGAGGAGTCACATGAGGAGCGGGTCTGCAACTGGCAGTTAGCAACCATGAGAGCATCCCACTGATCCCATGGACCTTATTTCACCGGCCGCATTGCACTGATTGAGCATCCCAGTGACCCACCCACCCACCCCCACTGACCGCGTGGACGAGGCCGAGGAGGAGGCGCGCGGAGGCCTTGCCTCCGGAGTGAGAGAAGGAGAGCGCAGCGAGCAGCGCTGCCGGCGAGATGGCCAGATGGTCAGACCGTGCTAGGCACTCGCCCAGACGCATGTAGGGGATTATGAGGCTGCTTGCAGGGATAGAGAGGGGAGGTGAGGTGAGGGAGAAGTAGAGAAGGGGAGGCAATGAGAGTAGTTCGCTGCACCCACTGTTGTGTTGAGTAGACTTTTGAGTCGACTCAAAAGTCAACTAGCAGTTCGCTGCACCCACTGTTGTGTTGAGTATGTGCGCTGATGTCAGAAGACTTGAAGAAGACCACCTCGCACAAGTGTTTGTTCGTGCATACTTGCCCCCATGCATGTATTATGCTTGCTCCCATGCATGGATTATGCTTGCCCTCATGCGTATATTATGCTTCGCCCCATGCATGCAAGCGCTATGCTTGCTCGCACGTGATCGCCGCACACTATGCAGGCCGCAGGCAGCAGCAGCAGCAGCTGACCTGACTTCCACAGGCGTGGCGAGAAACGTGGCAAACATCATGGTGGGACCGTGGCTCCTGGAGCGCAGCATATACGCCACCACCGCACACAGTGCTGCTGTCAGACCTGAGGTGTGTGGGGGGGGGAGGGAGGAGATGTGGGAAGAGATACGGGAAGTTGGGGCAGAGTGGGGAGAGGAAGAGAGTGGCTCCTGGAGCGCAGCACATACGCCACCACCGCACACAGTGCTGCTGTCAGACCTGGGCAGGAGGGGAGGGAGAGGGGGGAGAGATGGGGGGAGGGGAAGGGGGAGGGGGAAAAAGGGGGAGGGTAAAGGGGAAAAGGAAGGGGTTGATAAATGATGTGGGATGAGAGGGGAAGCTGAGGTGGAGCAAGGGGAGGAGGGAAAATATGGAGGTAGGGGAATGGGGGGTGTCACCGAATATGCATGATTATGCATATAAGGTGCCAGAGTATGCGGTGTAGTTATGGTGTAGCAATGTTGAGTGTGCACATTGCAGGGCAGGTAGTTGGGGACCAGGGAAACTGACGCGAGGTGGGTAGGAGAGCACCGATGGGTGGAATCCAAGGAACCAATGTGAACAAACCAACCCAGGCTCGAGCCGCACATTGAGAAATGCACGGTTCGAGCCTGGGCCAGGTAAATTCACTCTCTCACACACACCCGATGCTTTTCTCTTGTTATTCTCTCATATTAGTGGAAAGTTGTTACCTCAGATCTAGCATCCGGTGGCACGCCACTATGGGAGGACCTACGGGGTGAGGGAGGAAACTCTTTCATAACAAGAGAAAAGCCAGTGCGTGTGTGAGTTATGGACGAGTACGAGCTGCGTTGGGCTCGTCGTGAGGAGGAACGGCCGTGTCAGGGCCGGACGCATGAACGTGGGCGCTCGCTGGAGCGGTCGCCGCGGAGGCCAGCATTCTGCACGGATCAGATTCCGTTCACGCGTGAACGACGCGGAGGCGGATCAGTTCGCGAAGGCGGAGACGGATCGGGATATGCCATGACGGGCGGCGATCCGTGGCGGCTTGATGGACGACGAGAAGAGGGAGGCGGCGGACGACGTCGCCGAGATACGGGAGCGCCAAGCTCGCCGGGAGAAGGGGAGCGCCGTCGCGGTGGAGGAGACCGCGGGAGCACCCTGGAGGACCACGCGGTGTTTGGACGGGGGTATTGCAGCGAAGGAGATAAGGAGATCTCCTGCGCCGACGAGTCAGTGAAGGCGAGGCGCGAGGAAGACGGAACCGAAGTCGACGAGTACGGCGAGGAGCCAAAGCACCAACGTGTGGAGGCGGGGACGCGACGCGATCTCCCGGCAGCACCAGGCGCATCGGATCAGGCGCCGGCGCGCGACGAGGCGGAGCAAGGTGGGGCGAATGAAGGAGATCGTTCGTCAGATCAGCGAACAGAGCTTGGCGACGACAGCCACGGAAAGGATTCGGCGCCTGAGCCACAAGAAAAGCAGGGCGACATGACGTATGAGCGTGCGGAAGAAGATCATCCTCTAGATACGCGTCGGCAGGACGAAGGAAGGCGAAAAGAGGGGCCGCATGCATCAGATCTGCATCACATGTGCGGAGGAAGGCGAGGCGACAGGTCGTGCTCGCCAGATCTGCATCGGCAGGGAGGGGGAAGGCGAAGTGATGAATTACGCTCGCCAGACCCGCATCGGCCACGTAGAGGAAGGCGTGACGCGTGGTCACCTTCGCCAGGGGTAGAGCGGCAGCATGGAAGCAGCCGGGACGCGCGAGCGAAGGCGAATCATTCGTCAGAGCAGCAGCGGGGGCGAGCGGAGATGCGATATGAAGTGCCCAGGGACGAGTTCTCACCTGATCCGCGTCGGCAGCGCGGAGGAGGGCGGAACGGAGGGTCGCGCTCGCCTGATCCGCGTCGGCAGCGCGGAGGAGGGCGGAACGGAGGGTCGCGCTCGCCTGATCCGCGTCGGCAGCGCGGAGGAGGGCGGAACGGAGGGTCGCGCTTGCCTGATCCGCGTCGGCAGCGCAGAGGAGGGCGGAACGGAGGGTCGCGCTCGCCTGATCCGCGTCGGCAGCGCGGAGGAGGGCGGAACGGAGGGTCGCGCTCGCCTGATCCGCGTCGGCAGCGCGGAGGAGGGCGGAACGGAGGGTCGCGCTCGCCTGATCCGCGTCGGCAGCGCGGAGGAGGGCGTAACGGAGGGTCGCGCTCGCCTGATCCGCGTCAGCAGCGCGGAGGAGGGCGGAACGGAGGGTCGTGCTCGCCTGATCCGCGTCGGCAGCGCGGAGGAGGGTGGAACGGAGGGCCGCGCTCGCCTGCTCCGCGTCGGCACCATGATGGGAGGCAGGGAGGCGGGGCGCGCTCGCCTGATGAGCATTGGCAACGAGATAGAAGACGGACTGGCGAGTCTGGCTCGCCTGATCCGCAGCGGCACAACGAGGGAAGGGCAAGGGGCGAGGCACGTTTGCCAGATCTGCAGCGTAAGCAGGGAGGGAGATGGGAGGAGGAGTGGCATCTGCAAGAAAGTCGCCGCGGGCATGGAGGAAGAAGGGACGAGAGATCCCCACCGCCCGAGAGGCACTGGCAGCGCGGAACGCTAAGGGAAGGATGGGCGAGGGCGCATTGCTCGCCAGAGCGGCAGTGGGGGCGAGCAGGAGCACGGATGAGTGCGGAGGACCTGCGAAGCGAGGCGGGACAGGACCAGCGCAGAAGCAAAAGGGGAGGCGGCGGTCTGGCGTACAGCACGGAGTGCGCCACAGAGGCAAGGGAAGGAATCGAGAGGGCAAGGGATAGGGAGTCATCAAGAAGGCAGACGAGAGGACTGATTGAACCATGGGGAGACGGTTGGGGGAGCATAACGATGGCCACACGAGTGGAAGTGCCGGCGCGATTCTCGGGAGATCAGCACACGGGCCTACACTTAAGAACTACCTAATGCAAGTGGGGAGTGTGAGGTACAGATGCGAGAGGAGCGGCATGGACTCGGTGGACTTCTTCCTGAGTCTGCCGAATACATTGGAAGGGGAGGCAGAAACGTTGTACAGGATGAAGATGGACGAGCTATTGGAGAAGGCATGGAGGTATGGGGAAGACCCCACGGAGGCATTCCTGAGGCGGCTGCAGCGGCAGTTTCCTGGAAATACAGCAGAGCGGATAAGAGAGTTTCAGGATTTCAGGAGGGGGCGGAGCGAGTCGTTGCTCACCTACTACAACAGGCTGATCAATGTGGCGGAGGATGTGACATGCTCAGATATGGGCCTACTCGTTAGCAAATTCCTCGATGGGCTGGACAATACCATGGGGAATGGGCTGCGAATGAAGGTTTACACACTGGGGGCAGACGCGACACTAGATGAGGTGTTTGAGTTAGCGGAGAAGATGGAGCTTGCGCAGAGGAAGTATGAAGCATACCGGCCCCGAACGACAGAGAAGAGCCGAGAACCGACATGGGCAGCAGTAAGGATGGCTGAGGATAGGGGAAGGTCAGAGGGACGAGGGGATGGTAGGGCAGAGAACAGGACCTGCTACAGATGCGGACAGTCGGGGCACGTTAGGAGAGATTGCAAGAACTGTGATTGCTGTGGGAAGCCGGGACACTTGAGGAGAGAGTGCCCAGATCCATCAGGGTGTGAAATCTACAGCAAGAAGGGACGTGAGGCGAAGGACTGCTACCAACGGGAGGGGACAGCAAAGGGGAACCCGGAAGAGCTCAAACGGCTACAAGCACAGCTGCAGGCACTCAGACCAAGGCAGGAAGCGGAGGCAGGAACGAGCGCCAGAGATGGGGATGACGGGGAAGTAGGGCAGGATGTGCAACGCGCGTATATGGCCTGGAGGGGAAGGGAAGAGATGGGACTACGCAGTGGAGGGGAGGACAGCCAGCAGGAGCACCGACAAAAAGGAGGAGAGAAGGGGCAGCAGGCAGAGGAGCCAACTCCAAAGGACGTTGTGGCTTGCCACCCGCCGGACGGGCTAGTAAGCCAGATTTCAGCACTGGTGGTGAGAAATGGGGCGACGGCAATGGAGGGGGAGAAGGACAAGACGGTGATCACAGACACTGGAGCACGGAGTAGGAAGTTGGGGAAGGTCATGGCAGAAGAACTGGGACTGATAGCACCAGAAAGCAGCTAGCAAAGGGGATGGTTGTGACGACGGCAGAAACGGGGGAACTTGAGTGGATGGCAAGCACCCATGCTCCGACTGAACTAACACTATTGCCAGGGAAGAAACAGGGGGCACAGAAGGGTATGCCAGCAGTAGCAGAAGCGGAAAGCAAGGCAGAGAGGGTGGGGGCACAGACGTGCACACCAGAAGTAGTAGAACCGGAAGGGAGAGAAGAGAAGGTGAGAACACAGGCGTGTGTACCAGCAGCGGCGGAAGCGGACAGGGAGAACGAGAAGGTGGGGGCATGGGCATGTGCTCCAGTGAGAACGGAAGGGAAAGAAGGGAAGGTGTGGGCACAGGCATGCACATCAGCAGTAGCGAAAGCGGAAAGGAAAGATGAGGGGATGGAGGCACGAGCGTGTATATCAGCAGCAACGGGAGCAGAGGAACGAGACGAGCAGGTGGGGGCAGAAGCTTGTGTATCAGCAGCGATGGCAGAAACGGGAGAACTTGATTGGATGGAAAGCACTCGTGCTCCGACTAAACTGACACCATTGACAGGGAAGAAACAGGGGGCAAGGAAACAGGATGCACAAGGAGGGGTGGAAAGACAGGAGGAGGGAAAGATGAAGACCGTGGGGAAGCAGGGCCAGCAGAGTAACTGGCAGCAGCCCATCCGTCAGGTCAAACTGTTGGGCGGGATAGGAGGAGGGTCGGCGGCAGTGATAAAGCATGGAAACGCAGTAAAGCAGTGGATTTACCAGGACAAGGAGCCCGTCGTAAGGAAGATGGCAGAGCACCATGCCGGGTGGAGGCTGCACGAGAAGTCCCTAGAATTGTTGAGCAGGGAAGTGGTGCAAGAGGTGATGGGGAGAAGGGATCCTGTTGTGAAGATTGTGACAAAGGCGGAAGCGGCGAGCTGGGGGCAGGTGGAGTTGTTGGTAGCAAATTGGGAATGCCAGGGTGTTTCTCGAGCAGGGATGGGGCTAGGAGAAAGGGACCTTCGCACGAAACTAATAGAGAACCGGTTTCACATCATGAAACGGCTGCAGGAGAGGCAGGGCAGCATAGTGTTCCGAGTAGAATTTTTGGATTTCAAAGGGGAAAGCCGAGAGCCCACACGACAGGTGAGGAAGAGGATCATTCAGCAGATGGGACTGGGGGCGACAGATGGTACAGCAAAGGTGGGGGCACGAGCTCATCGGCTCGGGACGTGCCGGCAGAACTTGGTGCCCTCCCAATATCTGCAGGAGGAAATAGCCGGTGTGGGACGGGCTTGGGGGAGGAAGGTGCAGGGCATTTTAGAGCCAGTAAGGACAACGGCACGAGTGACTAGGAGGTGCTACAGCAAGCTTTACCCATGTAATCGGGGGGGACAGGAGGTACAGGCACTGTCAGCGCTGGGGGCAGACGAAAAGGGCGAAGAAGGGAAGGCGGGACCTGCTATGGTGTATGATCACAAGGAGGGCAGAAGGGAAGAGCCCACGGCTCTGGAGCGAGAGTTAGCCATAGGAATGGAGAGAACATCACGGCAGCCCCAGGTGCGACTAAGCTGAAAGGAAGGAGGGCGTTGGGGAATACAATGAATGAGCAGATGATGAGGTCGGAGTCACTACAGGAACGGGTACAGGGTGGAGGGAAAGCAGAGGCAGCAGCGGTCCCGCGAGGAGCCTGGTCCTGCATGGAAGGGGAGTATCCAGACTGGAAGGTGGGAGAGACAGTGAGCGAAGAAGGGAAGAAGGTGATGTTGGCAATATTAGCGAAACACAGGAGGCGATTGGCCTTACAAGCGGTGGGGAAGGGCAGGGTAAAGCAGAGGCAACGCAAGGGAGAGGGGAGAGTGCCGAAGGGAGTCTGTGAAGGACAGGAGGTATCCCTGAAGAGCGCGAAGCAGGACACACTGGATGTGGGGTTGGGGACTGTGCGATGGAAGGTCAAGGGGGTGCGCCCCTCAGGGGTGCTGGTACTGGACAATGAGAAGGGGGCACAGTTGAAGGAGCACCAGCCGAACACAGCTGTGATCAGAGGGACAGGGCCTCAGCGTGCTGGTCCTGTGACCCGCGCTCAAGCTGCTCGAGCACGGGCACAGGAGGGGGCAGAGAGTGGCTGAGGCAGGACAGGAACAGAGAAGAGCAAGAAGGACAGAAGGAAGGGCAGATGGCTGGCAATAGCAGTTTTCCGACAGCTGTCACCGAATATGCATGATTATGCATATAAGGTGCCAGAGTATGCGGTGTAGTTATGGTGTAGCAATGTTGAGTGTGCACATTGCAGGGCAGGTAGTTGGGGACCAGGGAAACTGACGCGAGGTGGGTAGGAGAGCACCGATGGGTGGAATCCAAGGAACCAATGTGAACAAACCAACCCAGGCTCGAGCCGCACATTGAGAAATGCACGGTTCGAGCCTGGGCCAGGTAAATTCACTCTCTCACACACACCCGATGCTTTTCTCTTGTTATTCTCTCATATTAGTGGAAAGTTGTTACCTCAGATCTAGCATCCGGTGGCACGCCACTATGGGAGGACCTACGGGGTGAGGGAGGAAACTCTTTCATAAGAGAGTGGCTGAGGCAGGACAGGAACAGAGAAGAGCAAGAAGGACAGAAGGAAGGGCAGATGGCTGGCAATAGCAGTTTTCCGACAGGGGAGAGAGGGAGAAAACACTGGGGAAAATGACAGAGGGATTCTAATGATTGGAGAGCAGAAGGGGAGCGAGAGATAGTGGGGAAAGGGTCAAGTGGGGTGGGAAAAAGAAATGCACGAAGAAACGTGGGGTGGGAGGAGCGAGGGAGGAAGGAGGAAGGCGAGGTGGCACGGGTGGGGGTACCGCAGAGAGGGAAGAGGCCGGTGACGAAGCCAAGGGCGAGGGAAAAGGCGAGCTGCTTCGGATCCGCTCCGCTGCACGCAGAAGGGAAGAGTGAATGAGATTTGGTGGGGACGAGAGGGGGAAACGGAAGTGTAGGGTCCGGAGGGGGAAAGGGAGGGGGGAAATTGTGATAAATTGCCTGCACTTGTCCGGACAATTGTGATAAATTGCCTGCACGGCGAAATTGCGATAAGTTGCTGGACAGAGCAAGAAACTCCTTGGAAGTGGTGTGATATGAAGTGGTGTGATATGAAATGGTGTGATGTTCTTATATGTGTCATGGGATTGCATGATGGCATGGAATCACGGAACCTGCACGCTCATCTCGAGACCACAGCCTGGAATATACGGTGCCATGAAAATTGAAATGGAATCCTAACGAGGACTGTACCTGTTGCCACCGACTTGCACCACTCTCTCACCACTCCCAATCATCTTTCTCCCCTTTTTCCCCACCTTTCCTGTTTCACGCCCTCCCTTCATTCCCCCCTTCCCCTTCCTCCCTCCCCTTTCCCATAATCTTCCCCATCCCTCGCACCACTCCACCCCTCGGCTACTCCCACAATTTCCCCGCTCCGCCTTGCACGACAGCCCTTTACCCCCCTCCTTTTCCCCCTTCCCCCGCCCTCCCCACAGTACCGGCGGAAGATGGCGAGGCAGGGGTCGACAACGGCGGACTTCCCCCACCGGCTGATGCGCCACCGCCGCCACCCCGCGAGGAACGCGGGCGCGTGGAGGGTCTCCGATACAAGCCCCGCGCCCATTGCTGCTACTAACGAGCCGGCGGCTCTCCACGTGGCGCTCAAGAGTGGCACGTTGCCGCCGTCATCGGCGCGCAGTGATTAAACCACGTGTGGCCATGCATGCGGGGGATACGGCGGCGGGTGCAGGTTGGTGTGAGCCGAGAGTTAAACAAACAGCATGTCCGCGCCGTAGAGAAAGGGGCTTCTAGCGGATTTTATTTGAAAGGGAAAATCTTCTACAGAAGTCAGAGCGGGTAGCTGGGGGCGGGAGACGCTTGGCTAGCCGGAATACCTGTCTTGATTCGCTATTGTATCACTTTTGTGACAGCACATGCACGAAGCAACGACGCACGGCGAGTTTGACTATTACTGGCTTGGAAGGTTCATGTAACTGGTACTGATGCGACGCCAATGCCAGACTACAAGCTTGCTTGCTGGGCTAACTAGCTTGAGCTTCACAAAGAACAAGTTTGGGCTGTCAAGTTTCTCTTTGCTGCTTGAATTTCTTTCACAAGTAGAGAAATATGAGTTCCACAGCACTGCGGAAACTCCAAGGCATAAGCGCAACATCGGTGCAGTGGGATGGGAGGCTCCGGCTGGTCTGTTGAGTTCGGTTCGCTGATTTGGTTTCCCGGTTTAGTGCGAAACGAACTGGCAGTGGAGCTCAGTGACTGACAGGGAGGACGCCAGAGGTGTCCTTGGAATTTCAGTAGGCAAGGCAGGTGTTGTTTCCTCGTCAGACTTGCTCGAGCTGGAGCCGCGGTCGCGTGAACAACGGCACGGTTCTGCCCGAACCAGCTCCAGGATGGTTGGTGAAATTCGCTGTACAAGCGTGGGGCTTTGGTTCTTGCCGTTTTGAAGTACTCCACAAAGAATGAGGTAACTGGTGTTGTAGTGTAAGGAAAATTCCTTTTCCTTACTTCGCATCCCTGCTCAACGCGTACATCACTGTAGCACCACAGTCAGCACCGTTACCACTCGCAACCCTCGCATCGACAATCCACCCGCCACCTTCGCACATCGCACCCCGACCTCACGGCTCGGCGGGTAACTCGCGCTCCGAGCCTCCGCTTCGACATTTTTTCCCAACCTCAGTCCCAGGCCCGTCGCGCCACAACCACAGTCCATTACCGTTACCACTGTAGTTTCGCTATATATTCTTCGCTCATGCCTTCGCTCATTGTACTCTTGCTTCGATAGTGCAATTCTCGTTCGTTCACTCAATTGCACTCGTAACACTTGGTATTCAGAGCCTACGATCTCCTCTCGGACCGCACCTACACCTTCGCTTCCCCACTATCTCAATTTTTGTGGGGGTAGACGTCTCTCAGCGACACAGCATCGCCGCTCGTAGTGCTCTCTCGTAAGCACGCACGGCCACGACCGAGGCTCTCGCTGAGCTCGCCCGACACCCCAGCCATGGCCGAATTCACGCTCGCCACATTGACGTAGGAGCAGCTCGACCGTCTGGTGCGCCAACTTGAAGATTCGGCGCTCGAAATTGCGACGCTCACGGCGGAACGTGACTCCGCGCGTCAGCAATCAACGATGAATACTCCAGCGCCACCACACGCACCGAGAAATGCATCTGCACAATCAGACGAGCCGATCGTCATCTCGTCCGGCACACCAACACAAAACAACAGCGTGGGACAGCGCTCAGGCGCAGCCAGCGATGGCGCCGCCCAGCCGATGCCTGGCATGGGAGGAAACAGGGTCGCACCAAGCCCGCGGGAGCCTCGCGAAGCCCGTCGGCACGTGGAGTTCGCGGCGATAAGTGACGAACAGACCATTATGGCACCAATGCCACTCAAGCCGCAACGCCCGCCCTGCTTCGACCCGAGCCAGCGTGGAGGTCCGACGGTTCAATCGTGGGTCTTCACGATGAACGTCTTCTTCGACGCGAATTACGTCGAGTCGGACGCAGCGAAGATTCGGTATGCCGTTTCGCTGCTAAGGGGCCCCGCCATGGACTGGTGGCGAGTCATCGTGACGTCGCCACGCGCCTACGAGCCACCGTCGCAAGAGGAAGGGCCCACGGGCCCAGCTGTCACCTGGAGTTTATTCTGCGAGACCGCCCAATACAGCACGTGGGATGCGTGGTGCGCAGGGCTTCGGGCGCGCTTCGAGCCGATCGCGGCTTCTATTTCGGCGCGTCAGAGATTGCGCACTTGGCGGCAGCTTGGATCGGTTCAAGACTATACGAGTGGTTTTCTCGCATTATGCGAGCAAGTCGGCTACATGCACGAAGCGGAGCGGGTGGACCGTTACGTCGGAGGGCTGAAGCCGGACATCTCGCACGAAATCATGCTACGCGGGCTCTCGAACTTCAACGAGATTCTCGCGCTCGCCGAGAAAATCGACATTTTACGCCGTCCGAGACCGGGGTCCTACTATGGACATCGTCCTCGGGGACCAATCGAGCACGCCACTGTACACGCTGTTGCGACGAATGCAGCTGCCGCGCCGTTTAAGGGGCGCTGCTTTGCTTGCAACAGGCCGGGCCATCGCAAGAGCGAATGCCCAGGGGAGCAGAGCAGGGGAGGGAGTCTCCAAAGCAGGGAAACGCCAGCAGTCAGTAGGAATCGGGCCAACTACTGACGAGACTGCCTGCTCGCCCAACCCCACCGACCCTCACCGACTCACAGTACCGATTCATGCTATCGATCGGACTCGGGCGAATAAGGAGGGTACAGCGACGGATTGCCCAGTACTGATCCACGGGAAAATACAGGGAGCAGCAGTGAAGATTTTTATCTACGGAGGAGCAAGCCATAGTTTAGTTAATACCGCAACCGCACGAAAACTGCAGCTGACACTTAGCCGTTGCTTACCGGAGATAGACGCACGCTTAGTCGACGGCACGCCACTGGCCATACGGGAAAAGGTAGAGAGAGTCAAAGTCCGCTGCGGGGGAAATTTCGGGTTTACACAGGAAATGCTCGCAACGACACTGGATGGGCACGATATTTTACTGGGACGTGATTGGCTGCGACGGTATAACCCGCGAATTGACTGGACGACGGGTAGCTGCACCGTGCGAAGTAGTGATAACTGGGTCGAGCTACCTCGCTGGCAGTCGCCCGAGTCTTCAACGGTACACGTCAACGCCATCACAATGAAACGGGCTGTCGCTGCTGGAGCTGACGTGTACGCAGTAGACATCGCAGTAGTAGAGGAAGCAGAGCGGCCGAGTGATTTCAAGAAACTGCTGGCAGCCGTACCGCCCGAATTACAGGAACTGTTGAAACGATACCCCGGGATTTTCCCCGACGACTTACCGGAAGGACTGCCACCTCAGCGAGCACATGACCACCGAATCGAATTAGAACCGGGGGCACGGCCAACCGTATAGCGCCAGTTCAGACTGACACAGCCCGAGCTCGACTAACTAAGGAAGCAGTTAGATTACCTGTTAGAGAAAAAATTCATCAGACCGAGCTCGTCACCGTTCGCCGCACCGATACTATTCACGCCAAAAAAAGACGGGGGTTTTCGCATGTGTATCGACTACAGAGCACTGAACAGGGTAACAGTCAAGTCGCGGTACCCCATTCCCCGCGCCGACGAACTGATAGACCAACTGCGAACAGCACGGGTTTTTTTCGAAAATAGATTTACGGGGAGGTTACCATCAGATTAGGGTCGAACCATCGGACTGCGCCAAAACAGCTTTCAGGACTAGGTACGGGTCGTTCGAGTACACTGTGATGCCATTCGGACTGACCAACGCACCGGCGACTTTTCAGATGACCATGAACGAGGCATTTAGGCCGCTCTTAGATAAATGTGTAATAGTTTACATCGACGACATCCTAGTGTACAGTCGGGATAAGCAGCAGCACTTAGCAGATCTGGAAGCAGTGTTTAAGGTTTTAGACGAGCACAGATTACTGACCAAGGGTTCCAAGTGCGAGTTCTTCCAGGATAGGTTAGAATTTTTGGGGCACGTTATTTCGGAGGCTGGAGTTGAAATCGACTTAAAGAAGCTGGATACGGTAAAAGCGTGGCATCCCCCGACGAACATCACGGAGCTGCAGAGCTTTTTAGGGTTCGTTGATTATGTGCGTCGGTTCGTCCCCGATATGGCACGGTTAACTGCCCCACTGACGGATTTACTGCGGAAGGGGGTCGCTTTTACGTGGGGGGAGAAAGAGCATGTTGCCTTCTCTGCCCTGAAAAATGTTCTCTGTTCACCGCCCGTCCTGCGCATCGCCGACCCACATCGCCCATTCGAAGTAGTTACCGACGCAAGCGATATCGCCATCGGAGCCGTACTGCTACAGGATTTCGGCAATGGCCTACAGCCTATCGCATACGAGTCACGAAAACTGCATCCGCCCGAGAAAAATTACCCGATATACGACCGCTAAATGCTTGCGATCGTGCACGCGTTCAAAGTATGGCGCTGTTACTTGACTGGCGCGGACGTGATAGTACGGACAGACCATAAATCACTACAGTACCTTCGCGCACAGCCACACCTCAACCCACGACAGATTCGCTGGCTCGATTTCCTCGAGTCCAACTTTCACTACACGGTCACTTACAAAAGGGGAGCCTCGAACATCGCCGACGCACTGACCCGCCCCACTGCCCAGATCCACGCAATACTACTCGCCCAGACAAGCCCGCTACTGACAGGCCTATTCACCCACGGGTACCAAACGGATCCATTCTTCACAGGAGGAAATTCGCAGCAGTTCGCAGCAGCAAAGGGAGTCTATTACGTAAAAACCGGGACTGACCTCATTTGGGTGCCTGGGTATACACTGCTACGGGAATTACTGTTACAGGAGGCACACGACGGAGTTACCTCGGGGCATTTCGGAGTAGAAAAAACACAGCAGCAGCTGCAGCGGTATTATTACTGGCCCGAAATGTTGACCGACGTACAACGACACGTGGCATCGTGTCCCACTTGTCAGCTCATGAAATCATCACGACAGCGGCCGGCGGGACAGTTGCAGCCGATACCACCCCCAGAGCGTGCTTGGCAGCAGGTGACGATGGACTTCGTC